GTTGTCATATTCCTCGATAGCAACAAAAAACACTTCCCTACCCCGTGCCCCACGATCACTCACACGAAAAAGCTCTCGGAGAAAACTTTCCCGCGAAAATAAACTGATGTATCCTTTGTTTGACACCTACAGTTCTGATTCCTATAGAATTCAAAAAGCATCTGAAGCCATTTATATAGATTTATTTGTAGTAACACAAATGCACATCGTCATGTTATAAGACTACCGTATATGTGTAAATATTTATATATTTTTTATTTGTAGCAAACGTCTCGTTAACAGCTTTAGCGTGTGATATGAGACAAAGAGTTTGCTAATTTCGACCACAAATACCCGCTCTTAATTGTAAAAGAGCAGATTTACTGATAATCGCATGGACGCGTGCGTCTGGTAGTGTGTACTACACCTGTGAAAGTACTGTGGATTTGGATGAAAACTTAATCTGGATTTTACTTTTATGACGCATACAGAAGACGCCCTTGGACAGAAAAAAACTCCTTTTATTATTTTAACACAGATACATTTCTTTAAAGGCTCTTTAAACTCCAGACCGAAATAATCAAACCTGAATCTGCCATCAGCCCGACACCGCCGCTGCTTACATCAATGCCTTCTTCAGCGCCGAAACGCGAGGAAAAATACCAAACATTATACAACCCTCCTTTCTTGGAGGCGCTAAAATGGTCTTAACTAACGCCGTCTACTTCAAAGGCATTTGGAAATACCCGTTCAAGTCTCAAAGTACCCACAAGGAGTTTTTCGTATCCCCGAAACAGTCTGTCGAAGTGCATATGATGTCGCAAACGGAAATTTCAAATATGGTAATGTATGGGAGTTCTTCCTTTATAGAAAATGAACCCTACCTTTTTTGTGTCCAGAGTGTCCCTTGTTACATAATTTTTTCCATTTTCATTGCGTTTGTATCGATTTGTCGCAAATCAAAATCAGTTATGTGTACATTAGGTGTCTCTCTTTATGGCAACATGTACACAATTCCATCACAGACCAAGTTACCTTACAATATAAGGAAATCGTAAAATGAATCACCTGTTATTATCACGAACTTGAAATATGTCCAACTCCGTTTCAGTGGACTCGAAGAAGTTTCGCGCCCAGGTGCTGGAGATGCCCTTCAGGGGCGACAGCGCGTCCATGGTGGTGCTCCTCCGCGATGTGGAAGGGGATCCAAGACGGTTGACTGGCTGGTCCGACGCCTGAAGCCCAAGAGACTCGCTTTTGAGTTAAAGGCGATGCGCTTCGTCCCGCTGACTGTGAAGTTTCCAAAATTCAGCGGAGACTACTCTCAACGATGAACTCATTTCGGTATGTTTGAATTAGGGCAAGGTAAGCGAACCTGGGAGTTTGGGAATGGTAAGCAAAGGGTCGTATTTTACTGAATAAGGTTAGCAAAGACTGGTATTTTAGTGAATAAGGCTAGTTAAGTCTGGTATTTCAGTGATTAAAGAATGGAATGACATATTCTAGCAAACAAATAGATAAAGGATAGAAACAGATGAAAAAAAATGATGAATAGTAGATATTTCATATTAAATGTAATTGAATATTATTGGATTGCTGTTGAACTCACAGTATGTATATATATATATATATATATATATATATATATATATATATATATATATATATATATATAATACCAACAGGGAACTTTCCTCAGTAGCGAAATCGTGACGCAAAACACCTATTAAAAATAGCATCGTATCCACACCTTCCTTCTCCAGACTTTGAAGAAAATGAGAATGCGTAAACTTTTCTCCTCCACCGCCGATCTGACCAACTTTGCACCTGACGGAGGATTACTGGTGAATGGAGCGATCCACAAGGCCCTTATTCAGGTGGACGAAGGCGTACAGACGGCAGCGGCGACGGCGTCCGTTCTGAAAGACGCTAACGGTCAACCGGGCCTTCGTTTTCTACATTAAAGATAACGAGTCGAACAACATCCTGTCCATGGTTGTTTATAGGGGTCCTTGAGGGTCCTCTGCTGGACCTTGTTATCATTATGGTTGGCATTGTTCCTCTTGATTTTACTATTATTATTATTATCATTATTATTTTTATTATGATTTTTTAGTTATTGTCATTATTATTATTATTATATTTTCTATTGTTATTGTTATTATTATCATAGGTATTATCATTGTTAGTATCATTAAGATTATCATAATTATCATTATATTAAACATGAATTGCATTCGATTGTTTTTGTTATCCTATTTTTGCATTTCAACATTATCATTATTATTATTATTACTATTGTTACCATTTTTATTATTATGGTTATTATTATCATTACTACTGCTATTATTTTTAACATTATCATTATCATCGTTATTGCTACTGTTGTTATTGTTAGTGCCAAATTTTGTTAGTTTGTCTCCCCTTTTTAAAATTAACACAAAATCATTATCATTACCTTCATTTGTAAAGGACTACGTACTGAAGACCCAGAGGAGACCAAACACTGTTCACACCCCTTCTGTATAAAGGAAAGTGAGCTATGCCAGAGTAAATCCATTGATGTTAAGGTGCTTAGATGAAAGTACTTGAAAGAAAATGAACCCTAAGAGGTAATAGTTATTAAAACCACTTGGAATCATAATTATGTAGAGAGCATAAAAAAAAAAAAAAAACGTGAACTGAGAATCAGATGAAGTATATCAACCCATTAAATCATAATCCTCCTCACAAAAGGTATATCATTGTAAACCAGATTAATCCTACTGACGTGAAAAGAAACAAGTGAAAAACATGAGCTAAGCTGCAATACAGACTTTTTAACACCAGATTCATCTTCCTGTAACTAAAATTTCAGCAGTACTTTTCGCACATTGATGTCAGTGTTCTGATAGAGGAGTAA